ATTTTCTATGTAGAAATTAATGATTCAATCATATTTTTGTAGGAAGATCTGAGCTAAGTTCAAGAGGATGGGAGATTAGAAGAAAGATAGAAGATAAGTAGCAAAACTGGAAGGAAGGAACAAGGTTTAATAGAGTCTAAGCTGGGTGTGATCACTATCGCTGGTGAAAGTGATTGTTCCAGAGCTTGGAAATCAAGGAAAATCTAGGCGTGATCACTATTGTTGATGAAAGTGATCGTTCCAAAGAGTTTTTCAGCATAGTCAAATGTGCGTTACCACTTTCGCTGATGAAAGTGAGCGTTCCAGAGGAACCTCAATTACAACAAAGTGCGCATTACCACTTTCGGTGGCGAAAGTGGATGTTCCAGAGAAGCTTCATGCATCGCGAGTAGCGTGTGATCACTTTTATCCACAAGAATGATAGTTCTAGAGAGACCTGCAGTACAACAAGTTACGCGTGTCTACTTTTGTTCATGAAAGTGAACACACACATACCTAAAATTCCAGCATTGCCACTTTTGTGAAGGAAAGTGATTGTTCCAGTCTTAAAGAGTTCCAGATAGGCTTCTGCGTGACTACTTTAGTGAAGAAGAGTAGTAACGTGCAAATGGCAGGAAATCTATAAATTGCAGAAAAGCTCAGAACTTTGGATCTTTTGTTCATTTTTCATTTCCATTTAGTTTTCTGGTGTGGAGAGAGTCTGAGAGAGCGATTGGGGATGAACATCAAACTTCAACCTAGAGGAATCCGATTGAAGATCGATTGAAGATTCTTCTTCTGCGTTCATTCTCCTTTTTTCTCTTTTTCTATTGTAATGGCTACTTGAACCTTTCGTAGTTAGGGATTGTGAATCCAAAATGAGTGTGTTGAATCAATTCTGGATCTGGATTTTGAGTATTGGAATGGATTGAGTGATTGATTCTACATTTTACGTAGTGATTGAATGGAAGTTTGATTAGCTAATTACAGAGAAACTCTTATTAATGGAAATTGAACTTATTTCTCATATCTGAATCAATTACTAGGATCATAGATTTCTTAGGGATAAGATAACTTGATCTTGCAATCTTCTGGTTTCTAACACTTAAAGTAACATTTAATTGAACTAGATCTAAGGAATTAGAGTGATTTAATTGAATGTTAGATTTATTGAGTGAAGGAATTAACCTTTGATTAAAATAACGTGAAACTGATTGCCATTCCTTCTAATTACTTGAATGTTTAGAACTTTATTTATTCAACACTGAAGTTTTGGTGAAACAACTCCCTAGCTATGTTCTCTACATTTGTTAATCACATAATTGCATGTTCATTGTTCTGTTTTCCTTTCAGATTTTAATATCTGTCACTTTTATCTCCAAAATCCATCTGAAATTCGTGAAAGCTCAACTAATTGTGGACTTGTGAAGTGATAATTGAGTACTTTATTCCCTGAGGACGACGATATTTGGGACTCAAACACAGTTCTATCATTTTTTATAACTTGCTACAATAACACTAGTACACTTGCTAGTTAAATTTACTATGTTTTGAAGGTGGCAATATATTATAATACCAATATTATAATCACACATCTCACAATGTTACAATCATTGCCCCTGGGATCCCTTGAGGTTTTCCATAAGTATAGATAGTCGTTGGCTAGTCCATGCACATAGATACAATTATACAATAAAGGGCCCCTTAATAAGTGTGAGGCCATGTGATGCATTCGCACTCAATCGATCCAACACACCCCATTCTCAATACATAATCATCATTCACATTCATGCTTACATACACATAGTCATGCGCTTCCATGTCATCACATATATGAAAACCATGCATCCAAACACCAGATAAACTCATATATATACACATTTAAACAATAACTAATGTATTTATATTTATAATCAATAAATTACAAAACTCAGGGCGTTACATCAATCAATCCACACAACAACCATAATCACATATTCACAACATAACAATTTGTTATAACTTATTCAATTTTCTCCTTCAAACACACACACACCAGTGCATTGTGATCACAGACAACGATGCCTCTAGCATTTTTTAAGGTCTTACTCAACTAGGTAAATAGTCGCCAGTAAGCCCATACACACGAATACAATATATACAATAATGGGTCTCTTAGTAAAGTTATAGTTAGGAGTCTAGTCAGGAAACGAGTATGAGGCCATGTGACGCATTCGCTCTCAAAAAGAGTGTGTACACATACGCGAGATCACTGCTTGCTTGAGGAAGATCACACTCACCTGGTGACAGTTGGGTTGAATTTATCCTATCTTGCTTGAGCAAGATTGCCTTGAAAACATGTTGTTTTGGGCGCTCAGTTTCGCTTGAGCGAGATCTCCTGCACCAGATGTCTACCAAAACACCCTTAAATCATTCTAATACAACATACCCTATAATACCAAACAATTCATTAATTTATTAAATAAAAATGAAAAAGAGGATGTTACACCCTACATTTTGTAACACCCTCAATTTTATTACCCTTGAATGAAAAAATAAGAATTTTAGTGGAAGGTATTTCGGTGTAGTGAGAAAGACCATCTAGAATCAGGCTCTTTAAAGCCTTCTTACTGTAGCGAGCAGTGGATAAGGTTGACTCGACTAACACTCTTGCTAGAGTGAGAAATTCTCGATAAAGTGAGAAGATTCTCACTACAGTGAAAATGACAAACAAAGGAAAAGTGATGTTTGTTTTTTTTTGCTGTAGCGAGAAACTCTTGCGGTAGCGAAAGATAGCTTGCTGTAGCGAGAATATCATAAGTTAAGGGGTATTTAAAGGGTTTTCAACCTAGAAAATTTGGATTACAATCCAAGTTTCGACCTCTCCTTTGTTGTTTCTAATCTCTCACCCTTTTTTCTCAGAAATACTTATCTAAACTTCAATCTTCCTTCGAATTTGGGCTTAGAAGTTCAACCATTCAGATCCAAGTACGTTACTTGGAGCATGGTTCTCCAACTTCATTCCTATTTTTTAGTTTCTCTATTCTGAAGTTTTATACTTTGTGATACTTAAGGAAACCTTAACCCCTAAGATGATATCCTCTATCAGGACGTTGTGCCTCTCCCTTAGATCTCCAGAAAAACTCAATTTGAGAAACCCATTTTCAGGTAAGAAGAGTGGATCCCAAACCCTAACTCCTTTTCGATATTTTGTTTTGAAAATACTAAAATTTTCTATTAGAGCCCTAGAATACTAATATTTTCTTAAATCTCAAGTGTAGGTATAGTGATTTTTAACATGAAAACCCATGATTATTTTTGGAACTAGCTAAATACAAATTGTATCAAAAGCTCTGAAAAGAACTATTTTGAGAAATATTATAACTTTATTCCTATTTTTCAATTTTCTCTAATATGAAGTTTTATACTTTGTGATACTCAAGGAAACCTTAACCCTTAAGATGATATCCTCTATCAGGACGTTGTGCCTCTCCCTTGGATCTCCAGGAAAACTCGATCTAAGAGACCCATTTCCAGGTAAAGAGAGTAGATCCCAAACCCTAACTCCTTTTTGGTATTTTGGTTTGAAAATACTAAGTTTTTCTATTAGAATCTTATAATACTAATATTTTCTTAAATCTCAAGTGTAGGAACAGTGATTTTTGACATGAAAACCCATGATTATTTTTAGACCTAGCTCAATACAAATTGTAACAAAAGCTCTAAAAAGAACTATTTGGAGAAATATTAGGACTTTACTAGTGAATATTGTTAAGAGATAGTTAAAATTACTATTTAATATTTTTGGCATGATAGACATACTGCAAATATTAGATGATACCAAAACATTAGGATAGATGATTATATTAATAGTGAGAAAGTATGTGTATTGAAACTGTACGATTGGTCTGAGTCCAGAGGTGTTTAACCTTCAGTATATTGTATTCATCAGTGTGGTGTAAAATTGATTGATGATCCTTCTGTGATGGAATGATATAATATGATAACTTGAATGTTTGTCTAATGACTAATCTATGTTGAAATTAGTGAATTTGAGTTATTGAGGAAAAGTAAATAATATGATATGATTGTGAAATTATGAGATGTGTGATTATAATGCATGAGTCTAACTGACTAATAGGTGTGATTATGATACAAGTATTGTAATATATCTAAGGGTGTACTTATACATGTATTGTAATAATACATAGATTTATATAAAACATAACTCATGTATTATGACATGTTGATCGAGGAAAAGGATGTGGAAATGAAATGAGAAATATTGAGAAAGAGAATAAAATGAAAAATGTTAAGAATAAGTATAGATAGTCACAGAGATACACTATTGGTGTAGAAGACGGGGACGATTGTAAAGATCTGGGAAAAATGAAGGTGGTGGATGTTTTTCTATGAAATGCGCATAAATAATAAAAATAGAGGGAAAAGACACCACAGGCCTCACACTTATTTCGTTACCTAATCCCCTGACTACACCTTTGCTAAAAGGGAACAGGTCGACACACGTGTATCCGTATTGCTGCGGCTAACTAGCTATCTATACTATGAAGTCTTTAAGGGATCCCAGGGGCAATGAATATGAAAGTGTAACAAATGTGAAAGTATTATGAATATGAAGTAGTATAGAAATTGTATGATTATTGTCAGATCAATGTATTTTATATGTGTATTATTCTATTTGTATTGTGTTGTGTATGCTTAAAGTGTATGAATTTTCATATATTGGAATATGAATATGAAAGTTATACAATAGTTGGTGTAAGGGCTGAGCAATTACAGTGCAAAATGGTTGTCGTGTTTGATGTCTTTGTTGGGAGTTTTGGGTGCAGGGGGTCTCGCTCAGGCAAGACTAAGTCATGCAGTATTCAACATTCTGAAGTGTTCTCACTCAAGCGAGATCAGATAGGATCACCTCAACTGTCCCCTTGCCTAAGCGAGAAGGGATCTCGCTCAAGCAAGAGGCACAAGAAAAATGGGTAGCTCTCTGGATTTAATCTCGCTCAGGTAAGAACGCTACTCACTCAAGCGAGATGTAGCTCGCTCAAGGGTCAAGCAAGAATAGTAGAAATTTGAAAGGTTCCACTGTTTGATTTTATCGCCCATACGAGGATGAGCTCTCCCAAGCAAGAACCATTGGATTTTGAATATGTGATATGAGTATTGCCATATATCAGTGGGCAGAGCCATATATCAGTGAGCAGGGCCATGCATCAAGGAGTAGGGCCACACATCAGGAACAAGCACGGCTATGCTTCAACGAAGCACGACATTGCATAATGGAAGCACGACCTTGCATATTGTAAGCACGGCCATGCTTCAGGAAGCAGGGGCATGCATCATAAATGAGCATGGCCTTACTTCATCGAAGCACGACCATGCATCAAGTAAAAGCACGACTGTGCATAGTAATTTTAGGGCAAAATAAGGAATATAATTCATAAAATATATAGATAATTTTAGAATTACATCAAAGTGAATTTTACTCACCAAAGTGATTAAATTCTCAAGTTAATTAATTCTCAATTACATTATCATAATGAAAACTTCATAATTTAGTGCTTAATTTTAAGGGTAGCTTGTTAGTCACCAAAGTGGCCTAGCTTTAAAAGTTCTTTAAGCATTTAATTGTGTGTTGTAAATTGTTCAAAATTGTTTAATGCTATATGATAACATAAAGGGTGAACAATTTAGCTCATTAATTATAACGCTAGGAGATCGCCCAAAGGTAGATCATTGCATATGATTAATGACATTAAAGAGACGTGTAAGCACTTCATAATATGTTTGTATATCCAAAGATGACTTGCATATTGGTTTGAGTGACTGGTTATCGATTAAAGTTGTTTATTAGCATCATTATAGATAAATTGTGTATTTAGGCGTTACCCAAAGGTAAACTTAGATGCATAATTGATAATGGTTGGCTGTCTGAATCTATTAAGTTTATTCAAAGCATAAATGTTTAAGCATGTATTAAATATTTTAGTCCCTATACATACGTATGGCATGAGCAATGGCGTAGTCAAGTTCAATAGGCTAAATTATGATGATTGAGCTGAACAAGTTTGATTCTAGCTAGGTGTTATGGACTTAGACCTAGCAATCATTATGGAACAAGAGCCTGCAACCATCACAGAGACCAGTACTGAAGAGGAAAAGACTCTTCATGAAGCTTGGGAAAGGTCGAACAGGCTGAGCTTAATCTTACTGAAAATGACTATGGTTGAAAATGTGAAGCCATCAATGCCAAAGACTAAAAATGCTAGAGAGGCTGAAGAAGATGAAAGAACACTTCGTCCATCTCACATTTCATGAAGGGGCTAGTAGTAGTAAGGCTAAGCCAGGTAAAAAGGACAAGAAGGATAAGACCTTATTAAAGGTTCGTGAAGGCCAAATCCAGAAGGGCCAGAGATGCTTCTTCTGTAAGAAAGATGGCCACTTCAAGAAAGATTGTCTGAAGAGAAAGGTTTGGTTCAAAAGAAAAGGTATATATTATATTTCAATATGTTTTGAATCAAATCTTATTGAGGTACTTAAAAATACCTGGTGGTTAGATTCTGGTGCAACTATTCATGTGTCACATGTAATGTAGGGATTTCTTTCGATCCAACCCATAAGCGGAACTGAAAAGTTCTTATACATAGGGAACATAATGAAGGTATGGATAGAAGGAATAAGGACTTACAGATTGATCTTGGATACTGGTTGTTGCATAGATCTAGAAAAGTGTCTTTATGTTCCTGAATGTGCTAGAAATTTGGTTTCTGTTGCAAAGTTTGACGAATTTGGTTTTAATTTTAAGATTGGAAATGGTACCTTTTCTTTGTATAAACTCGTTATTTTGGATCTGGTACATTAATTGATGGTTTATATCGTTTCAATCTTAATGTTAAATTTGCTGAATCTCTGTTTCATGTTGAGAATGTTGTTAGTAGTAATTTGAATATGCGTAATGAATGCTCTGCTTTCTTGTGGCATTAAAGGTTAGGTCACATATTCAAAGAAAGGATAATGAGGTTAATGAAAAGTGAAATTTTATCTCAATTGGATTTTTTTGACTAGGATGTATATGTGGATTGTATTAAAGGAAAACAAACTAAACACACATCAAAGAATCTAGCCACAAGAAGCAATCAACTCTTAATATTGATATACATTGATATTTATGGTCCGTTTGACATCTTAAGGTGGTGAAAGATATTTTATTACCTTTATTGATGACTACTCGCATTATTGTTATCTGTATGTGTTGCATGAAAAATCCCAATCAGTGGATGTCTTACAAGTATTCATTGATGAGGTGGAAAGGCAACTAGATAGAAAAGTAAAGGTTGTGAGGTCAAATAAAGGTGGTGAATATTATGGAAAATCTAATAAAAGTGGACAATGTCCAGGACCATTTATGTAACTTCTAGAAATTCGAGGCATATGTGCACAGTATACTATGCCTGGTACACCACAACAAAATGGTGTGGCTATCATGGAAATGGTTTGGAGTATGTTGAGTTACAGTTCTGTACCTATGTCTTTGTGGATGTACGCATTAAAAACCGTTGCATATCTGCTTAACAGAGTTCCTAGGAAGGCAATTCCAAAAACTCCTTATGAACTGTGGACAGGAAAGAAACCCAGTTTAAGACATCTTCATGTCTGGGGTTGTCTAGCAGAAGTAAGAGTGTATAATCCACATGAAAAGAAGCTTGATGCTAAAACCATTAGTGGTTATTTCATCGGCTATTCTGAGAAATCAAAGGGGTACAAATTTTACTATCCTAACCATAGTATGAGAATAGTTGAGTCTGGAAATGTAAGGTTCATTGAAAATGGTCAGTTTAATGGGAGTGGTGAAACACGAAAGTTAAAAATTATAGAGACACATGCGGAAACTCTTGTAGTTGGTGTTTCTTCTCAAGTTATTTTTCTCCTTGTTGTATCACGATCATACAACATAAAGAGACAACAAGTTAATTTTTCAAACCCACAAAAACAACATATAGAGGATGAACCAGCTAACAATGCGCAAGTCATGGAATGTTACAATTCTGAAAAGTGATTGAATGCCATGAAAGAAGAGTTAAAATTAATGAGTGACAATAAGGTATGGGATCTAGTTGAGTTGCCTGAAGGTTCAAAACGAGTCGGTTGCAAGTGGGTCTTTAAGACCAAACGTGACTCAAAAGGCAATGTTGAGAGATACAAGGCTAGACTTGTTGCTAAAGGATACACTCAAAAGGATGGCATAGACTATAAAGAGACCTTCTCTTCGGTTTTAAAGAATGACTCTTTAAGAATTGTTATGGCTTTAGTGGCTCATTATGACTTAGAGCTTCACCAAATGGAAGTAAAGACCACCTTTCTGAATGGTGACTTGGAAGAGAAAGTTTATATGGATTAGCCAGATGGCTTCTTGACCACAGGTAAAGAAAGTCTAGTGTGTAAGTTAAAGAAATCAATATATGGGTTGAAACAGGCTTCCAGACAATGGCATCTTAAGTTCAATGATACCATCACGTCATATGGTTTTATAGAGAACACCGTTGACCAGTGTATCTATATGAAGGTCAGTGGGAGCAAGTTCATCATTTTAGTCTTGTATGTTGATGACATTGTTCTTGCTACTAATGATGTTGGGTTGTTGCATGATGTAAAGGAGTTTCTCTCTAAGAACTTTGAGATGAAAGATATGGGTGAGGCCTCCTATGTAATTGGAATAGAAATATTCCGTAATAGATCACAAGGATTACTTGGATTGTCTCAGAAAGGCTACATCAATAAAGTATTAGAAAGATTCAAAATGGAAAAGTGCTCATCAGAGGTGTTTCCAATTCAAAAGGGAGACAAGTTTAGTGAAATGCAGTGTCCCAAGAATGAGTTGGAGCAGAAAGGAATGGAATCTATTCCCTATGCATTAGTGGTCAGAAGTTTAATGTATGCTCAAACATGTACTCGGCCTGATATCAATTTTGCTGTTGGAATGTTAGGCCGATATCAAAGTAATCTCAGAATGGACCACTGGAAGGCTGCAAAGAAATTTCTTAGGTATTTACAAGGCACCAATGACTACATGCTTACTTATAGGAGATCTAGTTATCTGGAAGTGGTTGGCTACTCGGATTCAGACTATGCTGGATGTGTAGACTTAAGGAAGTCAACCTTTGGCTACATCTTCTTGTTGGCTGGAGGTGCAATTTCATGGAAGAGCATAAATGAGTCCATTATTGCTACGTCTACCATGGAAGCGGAATTTGTGGCGTGCTTTGAGGCCACTATTCATGCTTTGTGGTTACGGAACTTTGTCTTAGGGTTTAGTATTGTTGATAGTATAGAAAATCTGCTAAGAATGTACTGTGATAATTCTGTAGTCATCTTCTCCTCTAAGAATGATAAGTATTCAAAAGGAGCAAAACATATGGACTTAAAATACTTATCAGTGAAAGAAGAAGTGCGGAAACAGAAAGTGTCTATTAAGCATATTGGTACTGATTTAATGATAGCGGATTCGCTAACTAAAGGATTGCCCCCTAAAACATTTTCTGGCCATGTTGGTAGAATGGGCATTATAGACAAGTCCTTGTTAGCATGATTGTGTGATTCACATATATGTGTATAGATTGTTTTGCTCATATTATTGCAGACATTTTTGGGAATTCAATAAAAGTATTATTTTTGCTTGTTTACTTGTTATCTGAATTGTGTTAATGTACATGTATGGTTTGAGTTTGATAACAAGTTGAGTGTTAAAAACACATCAGAGTTATAGTCTGTAGTATGACTGATTAAAGCTATTTTGATTTGAGTTGGTTCTGTGATACTTGGAAGGAATCATTTCGTTAAATGACTTGTGACTGCCATGATCCAATCAACTTAAATCATTAAAAGATGATGACTTGATATTATCAATGATATGCGCACTTACAGTTCATTGAATCTTCAAGTCGTCACATAGGTCAAGTGGGAGATTGTTAGATTATTTTAATAATCTTATTATTGTGGCTTATGTAACTTATAGCATGACTCTAATTAATGATTTAATGTGATGGTGGTTAAATATAAAATATAGAGTCATAGAGGGTATAATTGTAAATACAATTATAAGAAAATCATCCTCTCTCCCTTCAGATAAATAAAAGAGTGGTTACCAAATGGGGGTTACGGCATTCTCTATTTTCTATTACTTTCACGGTCTCTAAGTATACTTACGGTAAATGCAAGAAAGGAACTTTCTCTCAACTATTCGAGAGGAGCTAAAAGAGGAAGAAAGAGTTGGGGAAGATACAAAGGGATCAACGACATCAAAGAGAGAGGTAACATCAAGGAACAATGGATTCAGGTTAGTGCTCTCTAAACCCTTAATTGTACGAGAACCATGTATTGTATTGTGAGAACAACATAATTCAAGATCTAATGGAAAATGGTAATCTCATAATAGTCATTGCATAATAGAAATTACATAATAAATTAAGAAAATTCTAACATCTATACCCCTAGTGTATCTCTGTAACTATTCACACTAGACCCAATCCATATCCGACTTTAAAAGTCATTCTCATATTCCTCTTTTTTCTCATTTATAAGATCGTGCTTAGTAAAGCACTTCCAGATTAAGTTCATTCCAATCTATTCCAATCATACATTCATTGATACAATTTCAATTGTAAATCTTTTATATCCACATCATTTTCTCATATCATTTTACTTAAATAAATTTCATAAAATCACATAAAATCACTAGTAAATTTCATAATATTTCACATTTAGTACTCATTATACAAGGCATATAACAAACATCTTTTTCCTTCATTATTCATACAATAGCTATCTAAATCACATATTCTCATAAGACATTTATATAATAGTGCTTTCATGAGCACAAAATAAATATTGTAATAGAATGATAAAATAGAGTTCTCCTTACCTTGAAAATGAGTTTATGGAGAGATGTTGAAAAGGATCAAAGTTCACGGATAGAAGTTCTCCTGAGTATCAAGAGATATCCATAAGAACAAAAACATGAAAAACGATCGGAGAAAACAAAGTTTTACCCAATGAAACTTACGTGAACTCGTTTAGATTCAACATCCAAACTTGACTTTGAAGAGAAATCAGAGTTCCTAAGGCTTTTATCTAGGTGAAAGGAAGAGAGAGTTCAGAAAAAACTTGAGAGAGGGACGTGACTTTGAAATAGAATGTATTTCTTATGTAGAAAATCTCTTAAATACCTCTCAACCCCACGCGCTCTTGCTTGAGCAAGGAACAACTTGCTTGAGCGACGACATCTCGCTAGAGCGATGGCACTGTCGCCTGAGCGAGATATACAAATAGTGGTCTCGCCCATTATTTTCTGATATACTCGCTTGAGCGAGCTCCATCTCGTCTGAGCGAGGTCACTCTTATCTAGGCAAGGTGACAATTGGGCAGAATTTATCTCATCTCGCTTGAACGAGATAGCCCTATAACTTTGTATTTTTGCACGCTTAATCTTGCCTGAGCGAGATTTACCTCACCTGAGCAAGATCTCCTGCACCAAAGTTCCTCAATTTCTCTTCTAAATGCATTATAATACTACTTAACATTAATAAAAACATAATTTACCAAAAAATGAAAAGAGTATGTTACAGTTTTCTCTGAGGAAGGGAAGTGAAAGAACAGATAAAGAAGAGTGAGAAAGGTTTATTGGCTTTTAATACAAGTTTTAGAATAAAAATTTCTTAAATATCCTTCAAAACTTATGGATTCTCGCTTGAGAGAAGCCATTCTCACTTGACTCGATAGAGAGTTATCCATTTTTGTTGCAAATTTTCATTCGAGCGATGAATTTCTTGCTTGAACAAGAATACATATGAGAAAATATTATTCATTCTCCCTTGAGCTAAAAAGAATATTCTTTTTTTTTTTAATTTCTTTTTTTTGAAAAACTCTTCTATTTTGAAAACAAAAAAAAATGAAAAATAAAAATTAGGGTGCTACAATACCATTTATGCATAATAAATATTTGTCACCACAATAGAATGATATCCTCTTTCATGTACTTGCGCATAGCATTTATTGTATGATTTATTTAAAATATTTTAATAATATTTTTTTGTGTTAAAAATATTATATATAATCTAATTGTTACAAAATTCTCATATTAATTATGAAATAAAATTTCACTTCTTGTTTTATTTGTTTGCTTTTGTGTGAATTATTGATTGAATAATATAAAATAAACAACAATAAAAAGTGACTTTTGAGATTTTTTTTTTTTTTATGGAGATCAATGCTTAATTTATAGGGTTAGTGTATGAACAATATTTTGGTAGTTTTACTCTATTAGATGTTGTATCTCGTAATATTGTATATAATAGTGTCAACTAAACTAAATTTTGTATTTTGAAATACTTTTATATATCTATTATGGTTTGTGTATAACATAAATTACATAAGCCATAACTTACATATACTATTATAAGATATGTAATTACTTAGTTTAATTATATTATTTTATTCTCATCACAAATTTTGAAAAAATGTACACATTTCAATAAATTCTTCTATTCAAGTTAAATTGGAAACTAATTTTAAGTGATATAATGAATATGACCAAGTAATTTCTCATTGTAGGATTTACGGTAGCCTTTTGGCATGACAATAATGTATTGAATTCCCCTTCTTGTACCATATTGATATTTTGAGTTTGATTCAGTTCTTGGACATTCTCAATGCTTGTAATTATGTTAGCTCTTACGGTTCCATGATCATAGATATTAGGAGAAGAACTAAAAAGGTGAATCCTAACATTGAAAAATCCTAATTAGAACCTAGGGTTTAAATCACAAAGTATTCTTTAGAGAGTTAGTATTGTTATGCTTTAAAATAACTAGACATTCTCTTGGTACTGAAATGATGTGATATTGTGTCTTCAACTATTAATGAATCGTAAAGATCTAAACATGTTATTCTTATTTTGGTAGATTTGAAGTATAGTATGTTTAAGAAAAAAATTGAGTTTTTTCTCGATCATGAGAAAGAAATTGATTTATTTGAGAGGTTACGCTTGGGGGTAACTGATAGTTTGGTAGCTTAGCTTGTGAGTCAGTCACAGAAGTTAAGCAAGCTTCTGTGTATTTTTCTATCGTCATTCAATCAAAGGATGCGCTTATTTGGCCGTGTGTTGACTGCATTGTTATCGTTAGTAATAATCACCATGGAATTAGATAAAAGAACACCTTGCTCATCAATTTTAAATAAAGAATCTTGGAACTCTTTAACACTCCCTTGAAATAGAAGTGGTACAATCTAAGGATAGTACTTTTTCATAGTGAAAGTATTCAATGGATATCCTAGAAAAATAAAACCAACCTGTTGAATGCAAAATGGGGTGGACACTCCTATTAAACCCTGATCTATAATAATATAGGGCAATTATTGGGTACTGAAATGAATATTAGGCAAGTTTTTCCACTAAAAGAAAATCTACCTTTGGGTACTGCATAATCACTGTGAGTAATCTCCTATCATGGAAGAGCAAAATCTAAAAATATGATTATAGATCCAATGCCAGAGCAAAATATCAAACCACGGCTACAGCAACCTTCAAACTTATTTGACATAAAACAGCTCCTTAAGGAACAAGGATTTGGAGAAGTTAAGCAAATGGCTCTCATTTGTACTAATCAAGCTGCATTGCTAGGCAGATCCTATCAAGTGATATCACCAGTAGTTTTGTTAACATAATTGATCAAACCAGCTGTTGATCTTACGTCTGAGAGAACTCAATCCAACAATAGAACATAACAGTTTCGTTTCTAGAAATATGATTACTGCTTTTGTGCATGAAAATTGACATGCTAGGGGATGGCCATTTTTTCATATCGTTTATAGGTCGCTCTCGGAAATACCAATTTGAAGATGCTTTAGCTCTTGTGCTCTAGATGAAATTATACAGCTTAATCATAAAATACAACTAACACAACTTAATCTCAAAATTATATCAAATTATACCAACAAGCATAATTACAAGAACCCAACAACGTACGATTACACTTATCATAAATTATCTACTTATTTGACATTAAGGAGAACTTCAGTACACCCTGATTACACGTTTTTCATTTGTCTCCAAATCTGGCATCATACGCTAGTACCTACGTGTCTTGCTTTGGCTTCCGGCTCAATTCTGAGTAATGACCACCCATTAGCTGCAAAATCTCTTCCCACAAACTTTCCGAAGAATCTGATAATGCCTCACAAAGCAAAGTTGAGCTACATGCAGCAACATACCAATAATCTGACTCAATCTCATCTCTCAGCTGATCCAGTTGCCATCCAGCATAACCAACAAAGAATTGGAAGTGATGAGGCTCGAGAATTCCCTTTTTGACAAGCCCTGCAGCATCATCTAAACTGCTTCGAGATCCAAAACATAGCCCAGGGATTACCTCTTCAAATCCTGGAAGCTTCAACTTTTCCCCTGTTTTTAGCAAAACCATACTTGCCTCAAGAGGTCCACCAAAATGAAGAGAACAGTCAGAGAAGGTAGTTAATAGATCATGATTTGTAGGTTTCATGTGTTTGATCTTTTTGTGAAGGGGACGGTTGATGACAATTCCAAAAGGCCCTCCTTGTGGGTGTCTAGTTCCAGATCTGAGAAGGAGAACAACAGTTCTTTCAAAGGTGCGAACACCATCAAGCTTTTCAGTAGCCACAAGTACACAGCCAGTCTCAGGCACTGGGATAGGATGAGCCCACTTTGTTCCAAGTGGTTTGGAACTGTGCAATGTTCCACCTTGATTGTGTGTGTCAGTATCTGATATTTCTTTCTGTTAATGAAGTGAAAAAAAAAAGTCAGGCATTGAAATTTAATGTTCAGTAAATTACTGAACTTGCTTCTTAGATATGCTCAATCACAAATAATAGTCTCCACATCAATGATTTTAAAAGTATCACAAGTTTCAACAAGTCAGAATGAATAGAGAATGTGGAAAACTAATAAAACGATATGAATCAACCCTGTAGGGCTTAGAACCTGGACACTAATATAAATCATTAGACAGGTTAATAGAGAAAGTGTCGGCAAGTCGTCTGCTGTGTCAACCAAGGAAGTGTCCTAGACTGATGACAAATGCACCAAGAGGAGATGAATCTCCAACTATCAAGCATACTTCAATGACTGTAACAAAGCATGGGTATGACTATAATAGATGTTTTGAAAAATTATTATTTCAAAATTCATGAAGTTGTTGACCTCCATCACTTCTACAGGGTAAATAAGAGAAGGCAGATACAAATCCCATTTAAGACTGAATGCATTACCAGCTCATCTTTATATAGCTTTGCTCTGAATTCACGCCAATCTAGATTAGGATGATGACAATTCTCAGAGTTGTCTGATTTGTTTCCATCAGAAGAATTGTTACGTCTAATACCATCTCCATCTGGAATGGATTGTTCGTCATTGCCTGTAATGATCAATATATTCACAAAATAGAAACTTATGAGAATGTACATTATTATCAAGTGAAAACAATGAAATGAAATGGAGGAATAATATGGTAAAACAAGGCAGTAATATTGTGACCTTCATTCTGAGGTCAATACCTATAATGAGTGATCAATCTAAAATCTCATCCTTTTGTCTACAATATTTCTGCCAAATTGTTTCTCCAGACTATAAACCCAAGAAGCAACTAGGACAGTAGAAAGAAAGATCAACTAATTTTTACCAAAATTACTTTATGTATGTCATGGCAGAGCTAGCTAACACCTCTTCAGGTGTAATATGTGAGAAAAATAAGAAATATACATGGCACTTCCCTGGGGTAACAATTGGCTGTCTATTTGAAAAAACAATCCAGAAGATTCAGTCAAAGTCAATTAGTTTCTAATGAAGTGCTTTTGAAAAAGGGTAATGTGGTAAACAGTAGACAAAGAGTGAATGATGATAATCAAAGTATGGTGTTTAACCAAAATTAGCTCATAAGATTAAGGATGACATAACCTTGAATGGTGGCATGATGTTTCTCTTTTCAATTCTAAAAATGTTTCCAATGGTGGTTCAAGCATGTGAGCAAATTTAACATTGCACTTTGTACATAAAGTTTAAAAATGTAGAACTGTAGACAACAAGAATAAAGGAAATGCATTACTCTATGCACCATATATAGCTGCTGGATAAGAGATATAAGTATCAAATAATTTAACCATGTGAAGGAACTATTGATCATATTGGGAAAACAAATGGGTTCAAGTTGTATAAGAAAAGCTCCTTTATAGTGGAAACTATTACTTCAACCTGAATAGTTAATTTAGCATAGCTCATGGTGAAGGAAGGTCCCAGTTAAAATATTATGAAGCATGGGGAAGGATGAAAATAAGAAGAATCCATATATTACCATTCATGGAACATTTTGTAAGAGAAAAATAAATAATGCAGACCAATCGGATAACAAAAACATTTGGCCTCACTTCTACCCTTCCCAAACAGAAAGGGGAAAAAAGAACAAAATATATCCAACGCCCTAAGAGAGATAATTGCATAATAGCACTATGTTAAGACACTAGTTAGAAGCCCATGCTGTCCAAAGATGAGAAATAACTTACAAGAGGTAATCTTGTAAACCAAACATGACCACCTACAAAGAAATGTAAATCACTGATTTTTTTATGTAGTTAATATGAAATTTTTTCTCACATTACAAATATGTTTTGAGTTTGAAAGAGAGAACATAAGATTTAAGTGACACAATTGCAAAACTGTTCATTTTATATTTTAAAAGCATCATTATATCATCCAATTGGCAATTTCAACACTGATTATAAATTGAACAAAGGATTTCATTTTCATCAATTCAATATAGAACTTTCCTCACATTGGAGGAGGGAAGTTCTAGACTGCAATTTCAGTTCATTGTCATGAAGTAACTCCAACAGGAAACAGCAACATTGTTTCTACTTTATTGGATGAACTCTTTTATTTGAACATTGAAAGAGATTACAAAGAAAGAGTTTACTAAATGGAAAGCCAAAAAGAAATTATTAAATTCTAAAAATAATGCTATAATGCTATTTTCAGAATTTACTCGTGTTGTGTGGAATGAAAGGGCAGTAGTAAGCTAAAATCAATGAATTTTCTGGTTGAGGGACCAGAAGCAGCACTGACAAAGATCCCCAAAAATAACATATAAATTAATTAAGGCCACCAAAGTAAGCTTCACACTTGGCAGTAAGAAAAGAAGCATTACATGGGATTGAAATAGAGAAAGGAAAGTTTGACTATAATACCGATAGGTGAACTTGAAAACACTAAATATCTACATAATATATGCTGAATTTCTTTGGATCCCAAGATGTAATAAAATTGATAGAATTCTCTTAACGCCCTGGCACCTTTTTTTTTTAATTGAAGTTGACAGTCATGGATACACAGTGACACTAACAGATAAGTATTTTCATCAAGCCATAATGCAATTCACATGCATGTTATGCACCGTATCCAATCCTCTATCTTTTGCTTTCTGTAATTGTCATCTCAGAAAGTTAAAATTCGAAGGGCAAAACAAACAGTTATTGATTATTTTGAAAAGGAAAATCTGAAATTAAAGCAAATTACAGACCAGAAGAAGAAGAGTTGCCATTATTCTTCTTGCCTGCGGCACTGACAACATATGGCCGATACCCTTTACAGCAAGACTTTCGCCTCAAAAGAGTGATTTCAAGCACTCGTCCATCTACAACTCTCAAGGAAATTCCACTTCTTCCTAAATTCGATGGAATCGGTCTGTGCCAAAATGAATTTGTATTGAAGAGGTTCTTCGCATGAACACCACACAGATCCATTCACACTTTTGACGGAGCAATTTTAATTTTATCGTTTATGGATACGAGAACGATGACGAACTGGTAAGGAAAGCAGCAAGAAGATTTTTAATGCAAAAAAGAAAAACGAATAATTAGTAAAAAAAAAAAAAAAGAGGTGAGTGGAGAAACAGGAGAAGATCACACAGACAAAGATGAAAGAAACTGTGAAAACGACGCTTTGGAAAGAAAGAGAGAGAATATGCTTATTTTAACCGAATTGTGTGGAGGATTTTCCAGTGAACAGTACGGCGTACGTTAGCCACAATGTGTCCTAAGCGATATAAAATGCACAAATGCACTGACGACTTTAATAAAGTGTATATTCAATACCCGAATTAAATGATTAATCTGATCGATTGGCACTACTTATCCATTCTTCCCAAGTTTACAAGCAAATTTATTCCATAATAGGATGGATTGAACTTCTCCCATTATTTTGTTTTTAATTTTACAATATTGTACATGATAAAAATTATATATAATAATTTTTTATAAACAGTGTAACATAAAATATTGTTAACGCATTAAATTGCATTGAATTATGTAATTTTTAATATAATTTATTATATATAATTTATTGTCCTGTGCAACCACAAGTTAAAAAAATTCATTTTAAAATGAGACAAAAAAATCAACTAGTTATAATTTTAGGGTAAGTTAGCAAATTGAATCATTTTAAGTTTCAAAATTTCAAAATAATATCAATTAAATAAAAATAAATAAATACATATAATTAAATTTTAATTTAAATAAATTATTAATTTATTAATATTAAATTTAATTTTTATATTTATTAAATTATATATAAATAATAAATTACCACATGTAATTTTAAGTATTAAGTACCAACCAAATACATCAACCTTCAACTAAATACCAAATAAAAAAAATATTAACTTAATTCTCATTTTCTCAAGATTGAGTTTAAATATTCAGTTATAATTATAAAATTTTATTAAAAATATTTATTATATTTTTAATATAGAATATAATAAATATTTAATAAAAATTTGTTATTTTGAATTTATAAACCTAATATTAAAGACTAACGTCCCATAAAAAAAGATCGCTTCGCAACATTGGAGTCCCAGGAGCTGTATAATTCACACTGGCCAGGCGAAGAAACATGAGTTTTTTTTGTTAGTAAATTGTACATAGAGTTGAAAGAAGACATGATGGGCCTAATTTAAGTTTTAATTCTATAATAATAAATTAAACTAAATAAAAAATAAGTGTAAATCATTAATTTATTTTAAAATTTATATCATTGTTAGTCAATTTAATCATTAAAATTAATAAAAAAAATATCAATCTAGTTCTTAAAATTGATATTACTAGTCAGAGTTCTAATTTCTCTAGCACCAATCACACTCTAGCTAAATTTGAGATTGATTTTGTTTTTTTTTCTTTTTTGCTAATTATATATAGAGTTAAAGTGAGTTCACGAAATGGACCAATTTAAACTTTTAACTCCATAAAAATAATAGGTATTTTATGTTGGTTTCAGCTACTTTTTTTATATGATTTTTTTTTATTTCAAAAAATATAACTTTTTTACAAAATTATGGGAATATAAAGTTTAAAATCGTTATTGACGATTTTTGTGCAATACAAAAATTTAAAAATAAAAAAGTGATAAAATTTTAAAAGTAATTCATAGCGATTTTTTAAAAAAATATTAAAAATTAAAAGTTGTCAATGATAATTTTAAAAAATATATATATTTCTGTAATTTCATAAAAAAAAATCTCATATTTTTTGAATTTTTAAAAAATTCATATATAAAAAAAGTTCTATTTCAAGTTTATATTAATGACCAGCTGAAAAAATTATATTTAATAATATTTTGTATAAATTTCATCTGATTTAAAAAAATTTAAAAATTAAAAAATTTTGAAAATATTAGTTTCGTAAAAATTAATTAAATTAAATATTATTATTATATTTTTAAAATATTTATAATTCTTATTATTAAACTAAACATTTCTATTTAAAATTGAAATATTTATCAAATTTTAATTGATAAATAATTATTTTATAGAATGAATGTCGTTAAATTTTGAATCTGATTAGTATATAGGAAGTGAATATCTATCTAGGAAACCGAGCATATCTGTTTATGACAAAAGCTGTCTTTTTCGCTTTGAAGGATAAAATTAATGATCAGAAGCAGATATTTGTGGTAAGCGAAGATGGCGTTGTTAGCAACAGCAAGAGGGTCAGCTTTTGTTTGCAGAGCAATAAACATCACAAAACCTCTCCACCGTCAATGCAATTTCCTCTCTACCTCTGCTTCTCCTCTCTTCTGTACGTTCCCTTCACCCATTTCTCAATACAACTACCAAATTGTCTCTCCATTTTGCTATGAGTTATTGAAATCCTTCTGCCATTAACTTTGCCCATCGTTCCCAAGTTGTCTCTTCTCTTGGCATTTCCCTTGCCATTGTCTAATGACTGCTTATTAACTATCTATTTAATAAATTGTTTGTAAAATGAATCCTTCCTTATATAGCAAATTTAATGACGAATTTTTTTAAGACAAGCTAAAAGCTTATTTTGATATCAAAAGTTTATTGAAATAAACTGGAAATAAATTGAGAGTCATGAGTTGTTTTCTATGAACTGTTCATGAGGTCTTCTAAATGATACCCAGTGGCGGTATTGGTCTAGCCGAAGGCATTTTTCTATAATTTTGATCTGTTAGTGGAGAGGCAACATTGAGAAAAACTTTAAAAAATGTTCTATTATAACCTGGTAATTATAGTTAGATCTGATTGGACTGTTTAAATAATAAATTAGATAAACCAGATAAAATAGCACTTTACTGGAGTTAATGATGTTATTAGCATACTGTTGTAGGTAATGTGGTCTTTGCATTTTCTCTTTTCTTGCCATGTCGATTTTCCTGTTGACATGTGCAGAGAAGCAAAGCTCGGCTTTGGGACTTCCAGTTGTCTTCAAGAATTGAATGACAGATTTCAATGATAGTTTGGCTGATTTATATATTTAAAAAGTTACCATTTCTTAACACATCAGCTGGAAATCTATAGAAACCTACAACCAGAATTTTGATCATTATTTCCAGGAAAGCAACACGATGATTATAGCAAAAATGTAATGATGTTATTCACTTTTTTTCCCCCTATTTGCAAAGTCTGCAGTCTGAGCTCTAGTACCAGTCCCAAACACTTGTGTATAGTACATTTTGTCTTACTCTTTCACATTGTTTTCATTGTTAAACGTCATATAATAGTACCTGGATGTTTAATACTTCAGATTGTACTGTTTCTTTTCTTTTTTTTTCTTTTTTCAAATTCATATTATAAAACACTCCCAACGGTTGAATTGATCTTTGCTCTTGTGAAGACATGCACATAGTGAGTGGTTGTATCCTCCATTGGACCCCAAATACTGCAATAAGACCAACTTCATTTTGTGCTTGAGTTTCTGTTTTAATAAATAACTCAATCCCTGAGTTGTATCATATACTTAGACAGTGTCTTCTCTATATCATGGAGTATATTTACCTAATTGAATGCAACCCTTCAGTATGTTTTCAGAAAAAGTGCAATTTGAATCTTCAAAAACCAGTTCGAGATGCTGCAGACTCAAAAATATTGTGTAGTTTACTGAACGTGGAAGATGGGATAGATGATGAAGCATGTGAACTAGTCAGTGGAGTGGAGCTTTCTCTTGGGGAGGATGATGATAATATATGTGCATATCTGTTCAAGGCAGTAAAAAATAATAATGGAACGGGCATATTGCTTCTTTCAGATAATTTTGGGTTTGAGGATTCTTTCACCAGAGACTTTGCATACCGGGTTGCTTGCAATGGTTACAAGTATGTTCCTCAACTCCTGGTTATCGACAACGTATAAATTTCACAATGCACATTGTTTGTGTGATGGCAATTTTTATAACGTTCTAGCATATTTACTTCGAAACAAATTTGCAGCATTCTAGTTCCAGACTTGTTTCGTGGAAATCCATGGACCGAGGACCAGCCAAAGGATGGGTTTGAACAGTGGATTGCTAGACAAAACACTGAAAGGATTGCAGATGACATCACCAGATGGACAAAATGGCTAGTTGATGAATTTATGGCTGCAGGAATTTCCAAAAAACTTGGTATCATTGGCTTTTGCTTTGGAGGTGGCCAAGTGTTAAAGGTGTTGGCCCAAGACCAAGGTGCTTGTTTTGGCACTGGAATCTCCTTTTATGGTACAAGGATGGATCCCCTTGCTGCTGCTGATATAAAAGCTCCTGTCTTGTTTATTTTAGGAGACAATGACCCACTTTGTGAGGTAAGTGAAATAGATAATATTCGGAAGAAAATTGATAGAGACTCTGAATTAGTGATATTCCCTGGTAGAGGTCATGGATTTGCCCACCGGCCTGGATCTCCTGAAGAAGATGTGGATGCAGAGCAAGCCTATATGATTACGAAAGACTGGCTATATGATCATTTGTTGGTGTAAAAGGATATGTGTTCAGACTAATTATGTAAATGCTATACACTTGTCTTAAGGTGCATATTAACACTCTAGTTAGTAGACTACCTCTCAAGTCGCATTATTTTGTTAACATTTTGAATGCATTTTCTTTTCGATCAATGAAAGTTCCATGGCTACCTAAATACTAAAACGGCTACTGGATGCATTGTAGTTAAATTAGGAACATGGTCACAATGTCCGTATGCAAGAAACTTGAAGCGCGGGAACTCCGATCGGCCTTCATTAGATAGGCAATCCCTCTTCACGACCAATCGACAAGAAAGAACATACACTGACCATCTTGAACATGACTCGCACTAGTGTAGGTTTTTTGGTTTCACACCCTTACTGCATGTTTGGATGAGAAATTTAAGGCAATGTAAATTTTTAAGGAACTCAATAATTTACAGTAAAATGATGTGTTTGAATACTAATTAAAAGAAAATGCTCGTTATTGATAATCTTATACCGTATTTAAATTGATGGTTTCAATTGTTGTAATATTTTAAAATTATTATCTATTATATATGTTTAATATAAAATTAACGATTATAAATATTTCACGTATGAAGAGTATAGAATACTTGACCAACTTGCACTGATTTTCTATGAATGAGATTTGATAAACTGTCACTATATTTGAAATCTTAATCCAATTCTAATTAATCTTCACAAACAAATCTCTTCATGTATGCTTTTTCTTCACGTGTTTGGTGAAATCTTTGTGTGAATATACATGCTTTTTTATCCAGTTTTGCATTACATCTAATGACATTATAATGGTTATATAAAATTTGATCACATAATTTCTAAATAAGCAAAGACCATTAAAATTATCTTTTTAGAAATAAGGAAAATTGAGATTGAAGACATTTTCACTATTCTTGACAAACAAAAGAATTTAAAATAAAAATTAATTATTCTATCTAAACTAAATATTTTAAAATGATGTTATTTAAATTTTTTAGAATTTTAAATCTTATGGAATTTATACTTAGATTTCAATTCATTTGAATAGAAGGTTGGCCTCAGATAGAAGGTGAAGATCTACCAGTACTTTTTTTTTTTAAATTAACAATTCTTGAATCCAAGATCTTGATTAAAGAATATGTTAAGCTTGAAATTAATGAAATTAAAACAAGTACACATAAATTTAAAACTTAATTACATTTTTAGTTCCTAAAAAATTTGTAACCTTTTGATTTAATTATTTATTATTTATTTTTTTCTAATAAACCTCAAAAAAATTTGGTTACGTAATGTTCTTTCATTAAATTTATCATTTAATACTTTTAAATATTACAAGGTTTTCATTTAGATCCTTGCTTTAGGTGGACTAAATAAAAACTTCATGATATACATCAGAACTAAATAGACTAGTGATATTTAAATTTACTAGAAAATTTTATAATATTTAGAGGGACCAAATGAGAAACAAAAATAAGAGGGACCATTTGGTAAAAAAAAAGGATATATATATATATATATATATATATATATATATATATATATATATTATGAAGTATATCAGAAAATTAGAAATTAAATTAAAAAATTACAAATTTTTCCTGGACCAAAAATTTATTTAAATCTAAAATAAACCTGTAATCGTATATACAATTTTTAAACAAAACGCAAAATTTACAACTAATAATATTAAAGTAAATATTAACCCACTTGCAGTACAACCCATAAGCAGAAACATTAAAATGCCTTTGCGATGGAGTAAAAAGATGCAGGGAAGATGACTAGATGAGTGAAATATGCTGACTTTGAGCCTAAAGAATTTGAATTAAACTTGTATTTTATAATTTGTCAATATATTTATCAATATTACATTATTTATCAATTTATCCACTTCATTGACTTAGCCAATTGAACTGATTGAATCTTCGCCTGAATATTGTCACATCCATCGCCAATCCAATTTTTTTAAAAATTTGGTGCGCAAAAATACACTAGATCAGATTTATAGTCAAGCAACAGAAACTAAATCTGAAGAAGAATTTTTTTTATCCATCACCACGTAAACATTGCGCAAGACTACTGGAGAACAAAAACCTAATAGCTTGGGAATGACATACGCATACGTGATGTTCATTTATGAAATCATGGTAGTGCAACACTTTCAAGAGCAATAACAGTAAGGAACCATCAACAATCACAAGAAAATTCTGCTTCACATCCAGTAATCAGGAAGCGGTATACTTATAGCATCTACTCAGAGCCCTGCACATCCTGGAAAGACAAGAAATACGTTAGTTATGTTCCCCATCTAGTTCATTAAATACATATGTTGCCTGCATGATTAATAATGAGTACAACTCATGAACTTAGTCCTTTTTATAATTTGCACAATATTGTTATGTCCATTGTTCTTATAAATAGAAAAGTGCTTCTCCTCCACTTGACCCACATAATCTCATTATCCTACGCCCTTTTCACCTTAACAATATCTTGGACACTCACATTCCCCCACCAGGATTATTTACCCTAAGGCTCACAGCCTGCCAACTCACCTAGTTTCTTTTGCTACCTTTCTGATCCCTTTAGCCATCTTGTTCTTGCCCCACATATATTAATTCTTTCTTGTGCCCCCCAAAACCTTTGCTACAACACCCTTCATTGAAAATTCCTTTGTTCTTCACCTTTAAATTGTCACACCACTCAATTCTCAAATTCCTATTTTGGCCTTTCGCTCTTAATCTCCTCTTAACCCATGTATCTAACAAAACTCTATGTTGAGAAGCCAAGCTCTCTAGATATGACTTTACAAACCATGCAAAGTTTTTTATCTGAATTTCTTATAAAAAAGAAATTGATTTAGGAGCATGCCACCCCACCTTTAACGTAATAAGATGCTCCTCCGGCTTCATAAAACAATGTTTTCTATTGTAAACTTAAAAGCTAATGAAAAATCTGCAATATGTTTACCTTCTCCACAAGCTTCCCTTCGGCCATAAACCCCACCACATACCCTTGTATCCTCTAGACACCCTCCCTATGTGACCGACCATACAGACCCCCTCCTTCGAAAATCCTTTTTCCTAATGGTATTTCCAAACTAAACCTTCTAAATCGTCAGAAGTTTTACCTTATAGTGCTATTCTAAAACTACAAACTTTAGAACTATGATTCCATATTGTACCTTTTTACATCCACAAGATCGCTCTTCCAATACTTATCTACAATTTACACCCACTCCATTTCTAATTTAACATTGCCGGTGTACCAATGTACGACTCAAAGTATCAAATTTCTTTCCCTGCTATCCTGCCCACTAAGTTGGAGTGTATACACAAAAAATTGATTCTCTACCTATTCATGGTGTCAACTATTTCCATTGATTTATCTGGAAGAAAATTTAAAACAAAATCATTTCAATTTTTTTTTATTTAATTTTAAAAGCAAAACAAAACATAGCCCTAAATTTCATTGGAATTTCTATCTTAATTTAAAGCTCCAAAATTTTTCAATTTTGAAAGAATTAATGTTGAAAGCATTGATTTTGGTAGAATTGAGGTAAAAAGAATAGATTTCTTCGGGGAGAGACATTTTAAATTTAGTTGAAAAGAATTGATTCTATAAGGATTAAGGGCATGTTTGTATTGAGACAGAATTGAGAAATTTTTCTCTCACAAGACAAAGCCTTGAAATTTGGTGAAATGGAGTTAAAGTGCTAGCTAATATGTTAACAATTAAGTACAAGTCACACATCTAGTATCAATTCTTGTCAACAAAATAGCTATTGCTAAAATCTTCACCTCTCTCAAAATGAATCCTACTAATCACAGAATTGATTTTTGAAACAAAAAAATTAGCCAAAAACAATATCTTAGGAAGACTAGGTATTTTTGAAACATTGCCAAAATCTATTTCTGTTGCCACAATCAGGATTTCAACACCGAACAGACACTCAGTCAGACTAGGAAAGCTAGCCAAAACCATTATTTTAGGGAGAGAGGAGATAGAAAGGAAGCATCCCCAAGAACAAAGGGAGAGAGAAGCACTAAGGGGAGTAGAATTTTTTCATTTGAAGCATTTTCCTCACTGTCCCTCCAAAATATTCTATCTATACATATCTACTACAATCCAAATGCATGCATTGCAGTGTGGGTTCCCCTTACTATAATTCTCAAACCACTTGACTTGTAAGGTGGTAATTTTTTTTTTAATTAAAATCCATGCATTGCAGTGTGGCTTACAATTCTACTAGCACTGTCATTTTTCAATCCATTCAAATTAGAATTAGCCATTCAAATTAAGCAGTCCTATTCTCATATATGAATCTCACAACTTGTAGACACCTACCAATTCTGAAGCTTGATTTTATTCTTTTAAACAGCACTCTACATATGAAATTGTTCTATATGCAATAAACCAAGAACATAAAGTAATTATCAGAATAGTAAACATTAAGTGATTATTGTCATCAAGGTAGTCAAAATCGCGTTTCAGATCGTAGAATCGTATGATTCTACGATCTCCAGGCAAGCTTCTGGGTCGAATCGGTGACGGAAACACGATTTGGTAGGATCGGTGGGATCGTGCTTGTCGGAGCGTAAAATCGTTGAAACGCAAGATCCAGACGACGCGAAGAAGATGACCTTTTAGGCCCCTTGACCTGCGACCCGACCCGACCACATTAAAGGGGTTGGAACCCTAAAATCAGAAACCTTCTACGCTGTGGTTTCTACCTTTCTTCTTCCCTTTGTTCTTCGATACTTCTTCCTCCGACTCTGCTGTTCGACTTCTCTGCTTCTTTCCAGTACTGCGACTTCGCTCAGGTGACTGGGATTTGGCTCCGGCGACTGGAATTTTTCTGCGATTGGGTCTGAGATTTTGTGATTTTTGTGCTCTGTTTTTTTCTTCTTCATCTTCATCATTTCTGGGCTATTGTGTGTGACTGGGATTTCTGTTTTTGTTTTTGTTTTTATGCTCTCTGTTTTCTGTGCTACGGTTGTCTGCTACCATTAGATAAAATGGCTTCAACCAGTAGTCAAGCTCCTCCCTCCAAGTCATTACCAAAAAATGCACCGGGAAACAAAAGTGATGTAGCATGGCAACATGGGATTGCAATTGAAGGTACAAAAAAAATTCAATGCAAATATTGTCAAAAAGTTGTAAGTGGAGGTGCTTATAGATTGAAGCATCACTTGACTCAAACAGCCAAAGATGTTGGAGCATGCAAATCTGTTCTGGATGCGGTCAAAAAGCAAATGTGGAATTTACTTGTAAGCATGCAAGAAAATTTGAATAAAAAATCAAATTCCTTTGCTGACTGTTCTGCTGAGAAAGAGACTTTAGATACAAGTAGTGGAAGCAAAAGAAAACCAAGTGAGAATGAAGTGACTGGAGGAGGAAATATTTTTCGGATAAGGAGCACCCAAGCAACAATCAACAACATATTCAACAAAACTAGAAGAGAGGAGGCTTGTCAAGCTATTGGAAGGTTTTTTTTATAATAATGCCATATCATTCAATGTGGCAAGAAGTGATGAATTTTCTGTTATGTGTGATTTAATTGCTAGCCATGGTCCTGGATTTAAACCACCAAGCTATCATGAAATTAAAGTAAAGTATTTGAAGAAGGAAATAGAGTTAACAAAGGAGATATTAGAAGAACATAGAACTGAATGGAATACTGTTGGATGCACATTAATGACTGATGGGTGGACTGATAAGAGGAGGGGAACAATATTGAACTTCTTGGTGAATAGTCCTAAAGGAACTATTTTTTTGAAGTCTATTGATGCATCTCATATAGAAAAAACAGCTGATAAAATATTTAAAATGATTGACGATGTTGTTGAAGAAATTGGTGAGAAAAATATAGTCCAAGTTGTGACTGATAATGCAGCAAATTATAAAGCTGCAGGGGAGATGTTGATGCAAAAAAGGAAACACTTGTATTGGACCCCTTGTGCAGCACATTGCATTGATTTGATGTTGGAGGACTTTGAGAAGAAGATACAGATGCATGAAGAGACAATTCCAAAAGGTAGAAAAATTACAACCTAGATCTATTCAAGAACGGGTCTTATTTCTCTATTGCAACATTTCACCAAAGGCAAAGATTTGGTAAGGCCGGGAATGTAGTAAGAAAAACAAAAAACAATGGTAAAATTTGCAAGTTAAAAGAAAAACAGAGCACATTAGATAAGAAAAACAAGAAGAATGTGAATCATGTATATAGGAAGAAGAAAGAACAGAATGCAAAAGTAAATAAATAAATCAAAAGAGCAAACATTTATAAGCTATGAATGGTAATCAAAGACTGAGCTCTAATGCGTGAGCAGAGATCAAAGGAAAAACAGAGACCTATGAGTAGTGAGTAAATGGCCAGAAGCATCTAGGTTGGCCAGAAAATGAAGCCAGGAAGCAGTAGGTCGTTGTGGTCAGACAACAAAGAGATTTGAATCCTATAATGTTTCTTAAGCAAAAAGCACACTAGAAATCATGAGACTATCCAAAAAAAATTGAAATCTTATAGGTCAAGGGCAAATGTGGGCTTTTAGCCCTTGTTCACCATAATAGGCAAGGCTGCATTTTTCAGCTATTGACCATAATTTTGAGCACATCAACTGCAACTTTAAACACAATACCAATGAGAACCTAAAACGATCAACTCCCCAACACAAAGTGATTGCACAATACTGCTGCTATCCCTGCAATTCAGAACTTTTTCTACATTTCCAGGTAGTAGACATTGCTTAACACTATAACTCTACCTACTGGAGCTTTTGACATGTCACACATGCTTTGGATAATCATTCTAAAAAGATTACATATAAACAAGAAAATAAAAGACAAATCCTACCGGGGTGGTAGTCTCTGAAACCTTAGGTAGGGCTAACTTCGTTGGAGGTCCATCAAACAGATGAGAGCATTCGGCATATGCAGAGCCAATTCCAACTCCAGCACCAAAAGCAATGGATGCCCATCGAGTCAAAGGACTCCCTGTTACAACATTCAGGATAAGTGGATAACTCAATATTAATTATTTGGTGAGGTCTATAAAACAAGAAGATTCAGGGGGCTTTTGGAAGTGCATATCAAGAGCTTATGACTCTCATAAGATCTTTTCATATTATTTCAATAAGATTTCAAATATAGCTTGTCAAAATTAGTTCGTTTTAGTTCATTCTGAAAAGTTTCATGATTAAACTTTTTTCATAGGCCCTCATGTAATAAGGCTTATTGCATAAGTGTTTTTTGACCATGTGTCAAGAGAAATGTTGTGGAAGACTATAAAAAACTCATGTATGTATTTGGGTTATACAAAACATGTATGAAAGAGTAGCTATATGTGTGAGAACTCCAAGTGTCGTATCTAAGGACTTCCCTAGGAATAGATTTATATCAAGACTCCATCTTAAGCCCTTACTTAACCTAGTTTTAAATGTGCTTACGAGTGACATACAAAAAATTATTTCCAAGTGCATGCTCTTACATATAACATAGTACTGATTGAAAAATCCAAAAAAGAGGTTAACACTAAACTTGAGTCACGATAGAAGACTTTAAAATCTAAGAATTTTTGTTTGAGCATAAGAAAAACAAAGTATATGCATTGCAACTTTAGCAAAAAATAAGATGAGGGTCATGCATTTGAAGTTAAAATTGGGGTAAAATATGACAAGTCTCCAAGTTCAGGTAATTAGGATCAATTTTACAAAATGATAAAAAAAATTAATGAAGATATTATTTAGAAATACATGTTGGGTGATTAAAGTAGAGAAAAGCATCAAAGGTCATTTGTTACTAAGTTGAAAGAAAAATTTTATTGTACTACGATACGACTAACTATCTTATATAGTAATAAACGTTGGACCATAACAGAACAATACAAGTAGTAGAGGGAATGAAAATGTTAAGATAGATAAGTAGTCAAAACAAGAAAGAACATGATAAAAAATGACATATATGCAAGAATTAGAGTACCACCCACAGTAAAATATATGATAGAAAATTATTTAAGGAGATTTGATCATATGCAGAGAGCATGTCACAGTAAGCACCAGTGAGGACAGTAGATGATATGACTTTTAGTATGGTAAAAGAGATAAAGTAAAACCTAGAAAAACTTTAGAAAAAAATATTAAAAGAGATCTAATGATAAATAATAATGATGAATAATATTTTTGAGGATTAAGTTTTTTATCGAACTTAATGGTATTGTGTGATCTATGTAGTTGATGTCACCTAATGAGATAAGTTTTGTTGGTGGTTGTATAAAAGATATCATAAACATCAATCTAAATCACCAACAAATATATAACTAAACAATGTGTTTTATAATAATAATAATAATAATAATAATAATAAAAAGCAGCAGCTTAAATTGATTATAAATACCAAGTTTTCTTATTAAGATGGAACTATTAATGATAAGGCTAATCATGACACTCATTACTCAACCAACAAATTGGCTTATCCATCATGGATGTATGCTTGACAAACTTTGCAAAAATAGGTGATCATCATTGAATACTAACTCAACTAACCATTAATCCTAAACCTAAAATATGGGATAAAAAATTAAGATTATTATCAAGCCAACAAAAAAGGCAACATAGCCTACACCAACCAATGAGTTCCCCATAATCTGCATCTAATGGTATTCAAATCTGATGCAAAATTGTTTAGGGATAAAGGAACAATTGCAAAAAATATTTGAAAGAGAAATGCTACTTCTATTATTGAATGATCTAAAGGAAAATATAGGAATGATCTTCCTGTCCCCAGAGCAAGGCTTCTAACAAAGAGCTATAACTCTCTATCTCTAACGAATTCCATAATCTTTTCCAAGATACTCTCTCTCCTCACTCCATCCCAATATAACAGAAGATCACTCAAAACCACCCTGGGCCCACACCACACACTACAACCCCTTCCACATCATCAATCCCTATTCTACTTATTCCTTCTCTATACTCTCCAAACAGTTGGCTTATTCGATTGTTGCTGCACCAAATTAGCACTTGGGCCCATTGACTCTATCGGATCTCCAACAAAATCTAAAACATAGAAGTCCAAAACGGAGTATATACACAATGCTCAGCCATGAGTAACTAAACATGGATATCAGACCTCTTAAAATGGCTACTCCACAAGTCATACCTCATTTATCTTAAGCATGTAAGAGTGCATGCCATACATCCCCTAAAGAAGCAATATATATTAGAAATACAATGAAAGAATGAAAAAGAAAGAACTGATGAGGGAGCAACATCTCCACACACAACAAACTCCGTCTAAATTGGCACTTTCCAATTATTTGAGATCCAAAAAGCAAGTGGATTGTGAAAAGTAAACAGATAGAGCATATTACAATAATTGAGAAGCATGAAAGGATACTACCAAGACTTGAACCTAAGATCTAAAGTACACAATACTACCAAGATCATAAGGAAACCAGTTATTCTAACACACGTCATATCCTTTGTTGTTCTAAGCACGAGCAGCAGCAGCAAGCCAATCCCAAACTAAATGTTAGGCAATTTGCTAATTAGATTTAAAATTTCAATTGTTGTGTGAGAAACAATACTTACTAATCTTCCTAAAGAATAATGCAAAGGTCAAACTAATGCACTACTATCATAGGAAAAAAATAGTATATTTAGATTTAAACAAACATTATTTTATTTGCATTGGAGAAATATTTTCCATGAAAAAAATCTTCATTTCAATGCTTGAGGCCTAGTTTGGCGTGTGTTAGCATGATTATACAGCTATAGATAGTCTAACAACTGCGCTGTTAGTTAGTAAGCTAAAGATGTAACAGAATGGGGAAGAGGGTATAACCAGGTAAAGAATAGAAAATAGGGGGACTTCTGGTTTTGAAAGTGTGGAATTGAGAGGGAAAGCCCATGTCTCTAACACCAGGAGGAGTCAGTACTTTAATTTAAAGTTCTAACATGTCTCTTTGATATAGGTCGAGGGACAAAGATTGTTGTTTGCAACAATAGAGATTAGGATATCACTCGCGTGGACCAAGCCTACATTGATGAACCTTGACTCTTGTACAATGGTGGATGGGACACTTGTGGTTGACACTTGAGACTAGGCACACTGTTCATGGGATCCAAAAGGAAGCAATGGTTGGGTGCGCAACATAGAAATTGGGTCAATTTTTAACTTTCTAGACAAAGCCCAAATCATTGGGGAAAAGATATGGGCTTTTCAAAAATAGAATTCTACGAGCTTGCTTTCCTGTTAGAAGTGGAGAACTTGTATGGTTCAATGCAAGATTTGATTTGGTTCTTGATCCATAGAACATGTGGCCATTGAGGTTTGTGCTCATCTCTTTGAAGTTAACAAGAATGGAGTCAGCCCTTATTCTGGTTTGATGTCAGTACGATAATAACAAATTCAATGGTGATAGGTACAGTATTATGACTCAATCAGATACAATCAATGGAATTGGGGATTGTGCAAAATATGTTATTTTACCAAATAACTGTGAAGGATGTCACAGAAGGGATGTGGGATTTTCAAGTTCTTCAAGCTTATGGATTTATTCAAATTTCTGTTAGAATATATGCTAATATCCAAAAATATCTTATCATATCTTAGATTATTCTCTAGGATTAGTTTCCTTATTTCCTCATTATCTGTTAAGATCACTTAACATATTTCCTACTCATACTTCAGGGTAACAACAATCTTGTTCTTAATTAGATTCTTCGCATACAGGATTCAGGCATAATATAGCACAAATTTCAACCTTCAGCAACGAATGTAATCTCACTTGAAAGCACACACACAGAAAATAGCTGCCTCATCTGGCACTCTTCCTAAGTCCTAATTACATACCTTTTCATCTGAATCTATCGGGATAATAGACAGAAATGAGAGGAATATATAACAATAGGCAAGAGCCGCAAGACCAAATATCTAACAAGGACATTTATTCCTAAGACAGAAAACGATGGGAGAGATAAATGTGGTGTTTTAGTCTAGAATCACATCCACCTTCTCAGACGGTCAAATATATAACAATACGATTTTCCTCAGAGACAAAAGCAATGACACTCACAGCAGCTTTGAAGCACTTTGTTTAAAATTATTAAAAAAGAGCAAAACAAAGTGTGTATGAGAAAAAACGAAATCAGATTTGAAGCACAAATTATTGCCCACAACAAAAGCATACTCAGAAGATTCAGAAAAGAAAAAGAAATCAAAGAAGATACTTACTGAAAAACAGGAGACCGCCAAATGCACCGGCAAATGAGGAGTAGACGAAGCGGCGGACGGTGAGATCAAGGCAAGCGTCCCATTTGGCATCGAGGTCATACTTTGGGGAAATGATTTCTTTGTTGTCAGCCATTTTAGGGAACCACCAGTCTCTTCCTTCTCTTTTTCTCTCCTCTTTCGATTTGATTATGGCTTGTGGGTTTTCTTTCCCTGTTCCTTCAGTTTTTTTTTTTTGTTCCAGTTGGATTCGTCAGCACCCATTGCATTTCCTGTTCTGGGCTTTTGTTAAGAGGCCTGGCCCGGTTCCATTTATAGCTCTATTTACGGAAATTACTTCTTTTAACCCAGAAAACCAAAAGGAAATTACTTTCTTTAATTGTTTTCATTGAAAATTTTAGAAATTATATTTTATATTTTTAAAATTTAAATATAATTTTTAGAATTTATTTTACCTTAATGATTTTTAAAATATTTCTCTCAGAAGATATAAAATTATTTTTTGAATTTAATTTTTAAAAATTAAATTCCAAAATCATATGTAAATCAGTTCTAAAATTAATTGTTTTTAAATATTATCAAAATAATAAAAATTATAATGTCATGAAAAATATAGATAATATGATTTCTTTAATAAATATTATGAACAATAGTATTATTTTAAATATAAAATAAAATATGCTTAAATTAAAATGATTAAGTAACAGATTTTTAGTAGTTAATAAATTTTTATTTTTTCTCTCTTTCACTCATCTTGTAACAAACTTCAATGTGATGAGCCTTTAATTTTATTTATTATTATTATTATTATTATATTTTTTGCCTTTATCTTACTTTATTAGCCTTCAATGTTAATAAAGTAAACTCAAAGCAAGTTTTTAGATGTTCACGTTTTCTAGTTTTGTCAAATCTTTGATTTTGTTAAAAAAGTGAGATTGAAATAATGCTTTAATGGTTTTATTTGTCCCATTATTATACGGTTCCTTCTCGTCTTTTGTGAATCATAATTGTTTATTCAAATTTTTATTTTAGTGGATAAACTTTCTTTTTATTTTTGAGTTTCATGAAATTCACATTTTTGAGCTAACACATGTCTTACACACAAAAGTTGCATAATGTGAAGAATTAAAAATTAATGAAATAAAAGGAATAAGTTTAAAATATGTCTAAGCCCAAATTATTAATAACTAATTGTTTCATTTTAGAAATCTAAGCTAGCTTGATATTTGATAGACGATACTAAGTTGCTATCAAAACAACTAAGTTCACTAAGAATTTTTAATATAAAGTTAAATCTAAGTCGATTCACATAGACACATTTTTAATTAAATTTAATTTTAAGTTTTCTTTTAAAAATACGAGTAAACTTTTGGAGTTTTAAAACTACAAATTAATTAAATTAAATCATGAACAAAATAAAATTGAGTAAAAACAAATAAAAGACTAAATGCGTGTAACTCCGATTATCACAGTATCTAAAAATTTTAATTCGAGTTTGAATGTTTACCCAATTCAATTATTAATTTAATCAAATAATTTAAATAAACTAAACCACAGATTAAATTAAATTATCATTTAACCTAACCTGAATTAATTATCAAATTAAAATATCAATTGAATCCTAATTTAAATTCTAATAACAGAAAAGTTAATCATAATCGCAATACATAAATATGAAGTTAAAGAAAGAGAGAATAAACTCGAAGTAATTTAACCCAAAACTTAAATCAGAATTATAGCATTTGAATTTTGTGAATTGAACAAGAGATTTATCCTTCCATCGAAGCACTAAACCCACACGAAAGAGAAGAGAATGAGAGAATTCGAGAGAAAGTAAAAATAAGGATTCTTATTTCGGTCAAATCTCAAAAGTTCAAAGTGTCTAATCTCCCCTAATTCAGAACCTTAGTAGTTTATTTATAAGTTCTAATTAGGGTAACTAAATGGCCAAAAATTAGGCATTAATTATAACTATAAGCGTAAATATAATTATCTAATAACAAAGGGCCTAAATGCAATCTCGCAACAATATTTAGCAAATCTGCTTCAACTTTAAAAAATCATAAAAAATTGAAAATAACTCCAAATATAACGATCCATACATACATTTTAAAGCCCTAAATGTAGAATCCACCAAAAACAATATATGCAAAAAAAGTTATGGTCAAAAGAGTAGACAAATGTCAGAATAACAAAAAATACGAAATTAAAATATTTATTTGTAATAAGCCCAATTTATTCAAATAACTAAAATAATAATAAAAAAATAAAAAAATAAAGCATATGAAAAGTATTTATAAATCAAAATAAAACTATAATAAATATAAACCTAAAATATGTTACATCAATATTACCATATTTTATTACAAAATTCTAGTTCATATACATTAACTAAGAATAAATTTGGTGATGAGAATAAGTAAAAATATTAGGCTCCATTATAGTTATTGGGAATTAGGAAAGTATTTTCATGTTTTCTTTTAAGAATTGAAATTATAAACTGCTTATGTTATTTTTAAAATTATTTTTCAATTTAAAATAATTTGTTTTAATTTTAATTTATGCAATATTTAATAATAGAAATGTATAAATTATTTGTCATTCGTTTATAAAAATTAAAACGCTTAAGGATTTATCACAATTTTATGATAAAACAAATAAATAAATTTTATTTTAAAAGTAAAATTCAAATGAATATTTTTAGTTATAAATTCTTTAATATTTTATTTTTAATAAATAAAAAAATAAAATATTAACCACACATTAATTTATAATAGTAATGTATATATTACTCTATCGTTTGTATTTATAAAATATAAAAGGCACCATTTTAGTTATGCTATATAGTATTATGTACATATGAATTATCCTAAATTTTATTCACAAAATACTATATATTTTCTTACCTTTGTTGTATAAAAAAGTATTATTTAATTCACAAAACAATTTATAATAGTAATGAATAAATTACTCTATTGTTCATATGTTGTAAAACCATAAGAGTCTGCTTTATCTAATACTTGATATATATGAATTATCTTAAATTTTATATTAAAAGAAATAAAATTATGATTTTTTAAAATACTTAACAATTAAAGATAGCGATATATAGATTACTTTGTCATTTACAAATTATACAATATAATTTTTTTCATTATGTTTTTAGACAAAATTAAAAATAAAATATATTTTTTATCTTAATCATTCAAGATCTTCAAAGGATTATTTTTATTTTTATACATATTTTAATAAGGTTTTTATTCTCATATCATTCAAAAAAGAATTTTCTAATTTTTTCATTGCACTAGGGAGCATGGGTCAAAATTTGTTGAGCCAATTATTTTAAAACCTATTTTTCTATTATTTTAAAAATAGATAAAATATCAAATTTAGGAATGAAATAAAATCTTAATATTTACCAAATTCATTTTTACAAACTTCGTAGAGTGCTAATGTCTTCTACATGTGTAATTAAACTCTTAAATTCGGATATGGTTAAGTAAACTATTTTCAATGTTTTCTCATGTTCATTAAAAATCTTGGTGCTACTCCTTGGATCTTTGCTTTCCTTTTTCTTAATTTCTATTCATTATTTTCATTTTTCTCTATCACGACCCTGATTGCGACAGATGACGACTTTACTAGAAATATTTGAGAGTTAGGTTTGTGTCTTAATAATTGTGCATTCTCTTGTGTTGTTTATCTGTATTTCATTCCACTCAGTCATTATTTGATTTATTTTTATTTTTTTTACATATTCTTACACATTTTGTTATTAAACTAGAAAGGTCGATAACCTTTTAGTACTCTTGTTATTAGGCCATTATTAATACTTTTATTTAAATGGGATAGTTTGATGATTTCAAACAAAATTAATTTTGATATGCATCGTAGGAATTTTGGACTTAGGAATTTACCTAAGGTTTGTAAAGTAATTAGAATGGAACTATTAATGATATTAACAAGGACATCTCAAATTTTTCATGGCAACAATGATTTGAATTGGTCTATTACTATAGGGAATACTTGAATGTTCCCCTCATTGGGACTCAAGATGAATTAATTACAACCCAATTTTGGCTAAACTATAGTTAGCTTACCTTATTCTAGGACCACTTGAATTAAGACTACTGCAAACTCTTATTTGCCTTTTCAAGCAAGAAGATTGTGCTAAAATACTTTGAAAGGCAAGAAATGCATAGAGGAAATGTGTTTGAAAAGGGAAAGTATTAGGAGTTAGGAGTTGCACTACAAAGCATTAATGGGTTAAAGAGAGGGTTTAGGATCTTTGGAGATTGTAGAGGTTAAAGATTTAATGCAAAGATTAGCAAAAATGATTGCGAAGAATACTCAATTTGAGCAAGAACTTCTAAAATCTAATCAGACTTGTTATACCCTAAAAAGTTAAAAAAAAATGAAAAAGAACAAGACTATGAAAAAGGTTGAGTATAATTATGTTTAAGCATAATTGATAAGTTAATATTTTGATATATTTTATGACTTATATTTATACAATTAAACTCTATTTTATATATATTTACACTAATTATATTATTAATTGTTACAGTTTGATAAGTTCATATTTTGATATATTTTATAACTTATATTTATACACTTAAACTATATTTTATATATATATTTACACTAATTATATTATTAATTATTACAATTTAGCCAGAAGTTGTTATTAGTGCATTATAGAGATATTCTGGATAAAAATTAGATATTTTTAGTCCTTGGTTGTGCTATGTGAAGCTGAGTTTGAATTTTGAATTTAAAATTTAAATTTAGATATGAAGATTTGGAACAATTCTAATTGTGGATAAAACCAATTTGAAAAGATAGAGTTTAATCAACTGGAAACTCAAGACACAGCCTATATAAAGAGGCCTTATACTCCACATTTGACACTTCCACTTCTCTACACACCTTCTTTCCCTTCTTAGTTCTAACTAAACTTATCTTTGACACCGTTGTCGGGGATTAGTTTTCAATATCAAAGAAAATCGAGTATTTGGTTGATATAAACATTTTTTTATTTTGTTTTATGCTCGCTCATTCTAAATCTATTGCAAAACTCGCTTTTAATCTAGAAATTTAGAAGACCGCACGTAGGCTACGGAAGAAGTATAGAGAAAAGAAAAATATGGCAGCAAAAGGTCAATCTTGGAGTACAAGACACCCACTATTGAGGGTGATGCCGGGAGCATTGTAGCACTTGACACAGAGGCCAGTAATTTTGAATTAAAGCCGACCTTGATCAATCTAGTCCAGAACTCCACACTGTTTTTGGGGTGACCTGACGAAGACCCTCACCTTCATCCAAAAAAGTTTCTTCGACTCATTGATACCATCAAATACAATGGTGTCACCAAAGATGCTATAAGGCTTCGCCTTTTTCCATTCTCTGTCACGGAAAGGGTGAACGCATGGTTCTCCACACTTACATCTAATTCAATTACAACGTGGGATGACCTAATCCAGCAATTCTTAGCCAAATATTTTCCACCATCACTCTCTGTGAAGCTGATGACAGAGATATCTAATTTTCAACAATATGAGTCTGAATCTCTATTTGAGCGTAGGAGCGCTTTGGAGAACTTCTAAGGAGATGTCGACATCGTGGTTTTCTTGTGTGGAAGCAAATGCAGATTTTCTATGCTAGACTCTCATCTTCTAATAGAGTTACAGTTGATGTAGTTGTTGGAGGATCCTTCCTATATAAGGGGCCAACCACGATTCATACATTCCAATGGCATACAGACCATCACAGAAGCAAAAAGAAGAAAGTCGCTCCAATTTACCAGGCAGAAAGTAGCGACTCAATAACAAATAAGCTAGAAACTTTGTCAAAGTAAATGAAATTCTTACTGAGGGCATAAGATCCATCGACAAAACCTCTAGAGACTGAGGAAGCGATGACATCGCAGGAACAAAACGAGAAAAGAAAGAAGCACCATCGACAATGTGCAAACCTTAAGAACTTTGAATCCTTTTTCAGCAGAGGTTGAGGAGCAATCAGAGGGACCTATAACTTAACAAATTCCTTGAAGTTTTGAAGAAGTTGCACATCAACATACCCTTTGTAGAGGTCATCTCTCAAATGCCCAAATATGCTAAGTTCCTTAAGGAAATATTAAGTAATAAGAAGAGGTTAAAGGAATTCGAAACTTTAAGGCTTAATAAGGAATGCTTCACAATCCTTTTGAAAAAGCTATCCCCAAAACTTAAAGAGCTAGAGAGTTTTACTATTTCTTGTACTATAGGTAGCTCTCATTTTGATAAAGCCCTATGTGATTTAGGGGCTAACATAAATCTAACGTCTCTCTCTATTTTTAGAAGGTTAGGTATGCAAGAACTGAAAACTACTTCTGTTTCTTTGCAGTTAGCAGATAGATCTATCACTTACTCAAGGAGTATAGTAGAAGACGTCTTGGTAAAGGTCAACAAATTTATCTTTCCTGCAGATTTCATTGTACTAGACATGGAGGAAGATAATGATGTTCTCATTATTCTGGAAAGACCATTCTTAGCCATAGGGAAGACCATTATAGACATCCAGCAAGGGAAGCTCACATTAAGGCTAAACGATGAAGAAGTTGTTTTTAAAGTTTTTGATTCTCTTAAACACCCTTCTAGTTTTGATTCTTGTAATTTTATTTTTGTAAATGATCTTTTTTCCTCTTTAGACTCTGTACAATTAATTGATAAGTTGAAGGATGATATTCTAGAAAAAATTCTCACACTTGAAAAAGATGCTCCATAAAAATAGAGTAAGTAATAGATGAAATTTTGGCTTTAGAGAGTGGGAATCAAAGTCAATGGTTGGCACCAAGGTATTTTAAAAGCTTGGGAGCACAAGATTTTCAAATTCCTAAACCATCCATTGAAGAACCCCCTGAATTAGAGCTCAAACCCCTTTCCTTTAATCTTAAATATGCTTTTCTATCTCCTCCCTCTTCTCTTCCTGTAATAATTTCTTCTAAATTGACATATAATATAGAGGAGAAATTGATGAGAGTTTTGAGGGAGAACAAGGAAGCCTTTGGGTGGAGCATTCATGACATCAAGGGTTTTAGCCTTTCCATTTGCACCCACCAAATTTACTTGGAAGAGGAATTCAAACCCAAGGTTCAACCTAAAAGGAGACTTAACCCCAATCTAAAGGAAGTAATAAAAAAAAAGAAGTAATCAAGTTATTAGATGCTGGTATTATTTTTTCTATTTCTGATAGTCCTTGGGTGAGCCCTGTGCAGGTTGTACCAAAGAAAGGAGGGATGAGCAACAAGAACTTATTGCCATAAGGAAAGTAACTAGGTGGCGAATGTGCATAAACTATAGGAAGCTCAATGAGGCCACCTGGAAAGACCACTTCCCCCTTCCCAATATTGATCAAATGTTAGAAAAATTAGCGGGGCGTGAATTTTATTGTTATTTGGATGGTTATTTAGGTTACATGCAAATACCTGTCGCATTAAAAGACCAAGAGAAGACTACTTTTACATGTCCTTATGGTACTTTTGCGTATAAACGGATGCCGTTTGGATTGTGTAACACCCCTGCTACATTTCAGAGATGCATGATAGCCTTATTTTCTGATTTATTAGAAAATTGTATTGAGATTTTTATGGATGAATTTTCTCTTTACAACAACACTTTTGATAATTGTTTGCATAACCTTGATTTGGTTTTACAAAGATGTAAAAAGGTTAATTTAGTTTTAAATTGAAAAAAATGTCAACTTATGGTTGATGAGTGTATTTTTTTGGGGCATAAAGTTTTTAGTAGGGGTATAGAGGTAGACCTTGCTAAGGTAGAGGTTATTGCTAAACTTCTTCCTTTCACATGTGTTAAATCTGTTAGGAGTTTCTTAGGGCATGCAGAGTTTTATATGAGGTTTATTAAAGATTTTTCAAAAATAGCAAAACCTCTTTCTGATTTATTGGCTAAGGGTATAGAGTTTAAGTTTGATGACGTTTTCTTATCTACTTTTAATACCCTTAAAAGTAAGTTAATTCATGCCACTGTTGTTACCTCTCCTGATTGGTCTTTACCCATTGAACTTATGTATGATGCTAGTGATACAACTGTTCAAGCACTTTTTGGCCAATGGAAGGGCAAGATTTTTCAAGCCATTTATTATGCCAGTAGAACTTTGGATTGAGCACAGCGGAATTATACCACCATTGAGAAGGAGATGCTAGCTGTGATATTTGCATTTGATAAATTTTGCCCTTATTTGATTATGTCTAAAGTCATTGTTTATACTGACCATTCTGCTCTTAGATATTTGATGGATCAACAGGATACTAAGCTAAGAATTATTCGATGAACTCTCTTGCTACAAGAGTTTGATGTAGAGATCCAAGATAAAAAGGGGAATGAGAACTCTATTGCTGGTCACTTATCCAGATTAGACCTCTCGGTGAAGGAGAGCACCAAGGTAGAAATTAAAGAGATGTTCCCTGATGAGAGGATTTTTGCTATTTTTGGGGCACCTTAGTATGCGAATTTGGTAAATTTCTTGGTTGGTAAAATCTTACCTCATGGACTGTCAACCTCACAAAAGGGAACATTTTTATCTGATGTTAAATACTATTTGTGGGAAGAGCCTTATTTGTTTAAAGTTTGTGAGGGATAATTTGATTAGGCGATGTGTTCCTGAAAGTGAATTTATCACGGTTCTAGAGCATTGTCACTCTAGAGAGGTGGGAGGCCACTTTGGCCCCACTAAAACTGCTCATAAGGTTTTACAAAGTGGTTTTTATTGGCCTACACTTTTTAAAGATGCTTATGGTTTTGTTAAATCATGTGATAAACGTCAGAGGAGTGGTAATATTTCTAGAAGGCATGATATGCACCTCAACATTTTTGAAATATTTGATGTTTGAGATATTGATTTTATGGGACCTTTTTCTAAGTCTTTTAATAATGAATAATATTGGTTGCTATGGATTATGTCTCCAAGTGGGTGGAAGTGGCTACTTTACTAACTAATGATGCTAGGGTGGTTACTAAATTTCTTAAGAAAAATATTTTTTCTCAGTTTGGAACCCCTAGGACAATTATTAGTGATGGGGTACTCATTTTTATAATAAACTTTTTGATAATTTCTTGGAAAAATATGGTGTTACCCACAAGGTTACTACTCCCTACCACCCCAAACTAGTGGACAAGTTAAGGTATCTAATAGGGAATTAAAAAAGATTTTGGAGCGCACAGTTAATAGTTTTAGAAAAGATTGATCTTTAAAATTAGATGATGCACTTTGGGCTTATTGTACTGCTTTTAAAACTTCTATTGGCATGTCCCCTTTTTGTTTGGTTAGTGGAAAAGCTTGTCACTTACCTGTTGAATTAGAACACAAGGCCTATTGGGCTTTGAAGTTCTTTAATTTTGATTTGCAGCCTACAAGTGAGAAAAGATCTTTGGAGCTGAATAAACTCGATGAGATGTGTCTTATGGCATATAAGAATGCCAAGTTGTACAAGGAGCGCACCAAAAAATGGCACGACAAGCATATTCCACATCGTGAGTTCCATGAAAGAGAAAAAGTGTTGATCTACAACTCAAGACTGTGACTATTTCTGGGAAAACTGAAGTCCAGGTAGACTGGGCCTTATACGGTACTCAAGGTCCTCCCTTACGGGATCCTAGAAGTTTCTAAAGTTAGGGGAGAGATGTTTCAAGTCAATGGCCAGAGGGCCAAGCTATACACAGATAGAGTGACCTCCACCCAACAAGCTATGTTCTTACAATAGCCTAACAAGACGTCAGGCTTGTAACGTAAAACAAGCGCTCACAAGAGGTAACCTATGTTTTATTTTTCACTTTTATTTATTTTGTGTTCTTGTTTTTCAGAACGAGGTGCCTTTTATGCGCAATTTGTCTCACATTCAAGAAGTCTATTTCTCTTCATTTCTCTTGTCCTCTTTATCCCTACTTTTTTTTTTCTAAATATTGAGGACAATGTTGTGCTTTAAGTATGAGGGAGGTTTCATTATTACTTGTCTCATTACTTGCTCTCAAGTAATTTTTTGTGCCCTTATTTTGAGGAAATTTTGAAAATTTTATCTCAAGAAACCTAATTTTTTATAAAATAATAAGAACATGATTGAGTAATTTCTATTGAGTTTTGGAGTCATTAAAAATAAATAAATAAATAAATAAGATATCTAGCTTTTTACTCTACATTAAACTTTAACCCATATGTAAGTTTTGAGCCTTAAAGGGGATTTTTATTCTAATTTAATTGTATCTTTTTCCTCATTACTTTGTGTGATTGTCCTCTTGAGATTTATGCTCTAGAACTTGACTTGTAACCGATTTGAGGCTACTCCTTTTGATTGTATGTTTTAAATATGATTGAGGCATACTAGGATTATTTTTCTTGGCCTTCAACATGTTTGAGAAAGATATACAACTAGTTGATCACTTTGAGTTTTATTGATTTTTCTTGGTCCTTTATATTAAAATTATGAAATATTTTGTTGACATTGGGTTTGTAAATGGAGCAATTAAGTTGTTGGATTGTTAGAAAAATTCTTCTCTATATCCTTTAAAAAAAGTGTGTGTGTAAGTTGTGAAAGAAAAAATAGTAAAAAGAAAAGAAAAAAAGGTTTACATTTG